TTAAGAAACGTTCTAATAACACTCACAAACATATTACTCCATAAGCATGACATTTATACAATATCTAACATCAAGTATCTTCAAGTACGATAGATAAAAAAAATATTGACCTTTGCTTACATATGTTTTTCTTAGTTAGTTGTTTTTTACTTCCTATGTACCATAGTTAAGTTCTTTACCTATTTATAAACTTGGGCACCAATTAAGGGTATCAAAGCTACTTCATTTTCTTGAAGACTATTAAATACTTTCTTTAATCTATGCTAAGGATGATTATGACCAAGAAATCTTTGTTGTCAAAGGTAAATTGGTTTCCTTCCATGATACAATTGAATATTACATGTGCCATTTTCACATATAGGGAAAACTTTGTGTCCCTTAACACTATAGCCACTTAAGTTGTCATAGACAAGAAAGTCATTAATTGTGTAAAACAACATGGCACACATGTTAAAAGTTTGGTTAGAAAATCCATTAACCACATAAACTCCTTCCTCCCACAACATCCTCAAGTCCTTAACCAAGGGTCTCAGATAAATATTAATATCGTTTCTTGATTGTTTTGGACCCAAAATAATGATAGATAACATCACATACTTCCACTTCATGCGTAACCACGAGGTAAGTTGTAAATCACTACCAACACAGGCCATGAACTATGTTTAATTACTACTTAAGTTATCATATTGATTCGTGCCATTAGTAGCAAGTCCAATCCTATGATTTCTTGGATCATTTTCAAAATCTGGAAACATGGAATCTATTTTTTTTCATTGTCAAATATTAACCAGATGTCTCTGTTGTCCATCTTTCTTTTGTCCATTTGTGTACCACCTAATGTTTTATGCATCATGGACATTAGCAAATAAATGTTTCAATCTTGAAAAAATAGGAAGATACTACAACACCTTCATAGGTGGACCTTTTCTCACCCAATTTTCAAAGTCCCCTTCCTTTAGTTTGTATCATGATACCCCACACTATGGACACTCATGTAAGTTATCAATCTTTTTTCTATACAAAATGAAATTATTAGAACATGCATGAAATTTTTTATACTCCATACCCATTAGATACAATATCTTATTTTCATCATGAGAATGTGTCGGCAATGCGTTACCTTTAGGAAACATGTCAATCAGTAACTCAAGTTATTCTCTAAAGCTTTTATCATTACATCTATTTTTTTTCCTTAAGACTGATCAATCTTAACACGACAAATAATCATGTAAAATTAGTGCATTTCTGAATACAATGGTTTCTTAACACCACTGCAAAAACTATCATACAAATGTATGTGTTTGAAAGAATCAAACCCAACATAATGAATCATGCCCTCCAGTCGATCTTCCATCTCTAATCAACTTGTTCTTTTTGTGTTTGATAAACTTCTACACGTGGCATGTCTAACAATTCACCATGTCATGTCCATATCGTGTAGATTTTGAGAAACCCGTCACACAGAACATGTTATTGTATAATGTCTATTGGCTACCCTTGCAAATTCAAACAATTCACACAAGGAAATTATAACTTTCCATTACTGTTTATAACATTTCTTTGTGCAAATTAAAGAAACTCTTCCACTACATTCTCATATTTAACATAGTTGTGCATAAACAATTCATCTAACTCTTATCTATCACTGCATGTGTTCGTTTGACATAAATTGTGTCAACCCCACTTTTTAATACAAGGTATGGCTTTACCTATTTAGAAAGATAATTATTAATATTTGATTAATACGTAAAGGTAAAATCTCATACATTAAATTTGACAAAATTTTGTCAAATTTAAAATAAAAGTGGTGACATCAATTTCACCATAGTCAAGTATGCACCCAGAGAACAACAAGAAATACAATTAACCAAAATATTGTCAAATTTAAAATGAGACATAACCTCTCTCTCTCTCTTTCTCTCTCTCTCTCTCTCTCTATATATATATATATATATATAAATATATAAAT